ACTGTGCGCGCATTTTGCTATCTGGGAATGTTACCCTTAATGTCGTAACTTCAACCCCCTCTTCTTTCTACAAATATTTTTTTAATGACTCAAACTTTGATATTAACTATGAATCACTATTTTTATTTTATTTTATTTACATATATATACGGGCAATGCCCTTTCGTACAAGTGTACTAAAGTATAAAAAAAAGAACATAAGAAAAATGACAGTGCGAAACAATGTTTTCTTATTTCTCAAACAGTATGAAAAATTTTTAGAGCGTAGCTTACATACAAATTTACTTAGAGAAATACCATAAAAATCAACGTTGTTGTGGTACTCATTAGCTTCACTAGTTATCCTATTTATAACAGAATTAAATCCATAGTTTGTTCTTTGAAAAGACTGTCTGAACAAAGTTTGATTTCTGGTTGGTCTAAAAGGAACAGTAAAATTTAGCAAAGATAAGAGTGGAGGGCAGTTAATAATGCCGTTAATAATTTTAAATCGATGGCTGGGTGTAAAAACATGATACATCGAATTGGCGTTGAAAAACATGATACGTCGGATTAGCGTTGGAAAACATGTTACATCGTCGTTTGATTTGAAGAACATGACACGTCGAAAACGAAATTTTTCTTTTCAAATTTCTGTTGGTACCACTGGCCGTGAAATTTAAAATGTGTCAAATCTTTGAAACTGTTTTATGAAACAAATGATTTTGCTTCATAATATGTCAGTTCAAAGAAAAATTAGGTTAAATTTTTATAAAGTTTATATTTAGATTGATAAAATCTGTGATTTTATAAATAATTCTATTTTATTATAAATATTTATATTGTAAATATTCTATTACAATTGGTGTTGTTTAAATATTAATTTAAAGAGTCAATCATGGAGATTAAGTAAAGTATATTTTTTAAAACACAGTTATTAAATAAATTAAATTAACTTAGGTAAATTTTTTCTAGTAAATCCTCTAATTATTCATTTCCTGGAGGATTTGCTACCCATGACGTTATCATACAGCTGTAAAAGTAATTAATAATACAGACGACCATTTAAATACAGTATTGTAATCCCGTTGATTTAAAACGAATTTCATGTAAAATATTCAAAATTATATGTATATAGTGCAAGATTTTACTTCTATTATTTTAATATCATCATATATTTTTAAAAAATGTAATATATAACAAACCATTTTAAATTTCGCGATCAGTGGTACCAACAGAAATTTGAAAAGAAAAATTTCGTTTTCGACGTGTCATGTTCTTCAAATCAAACGACGATATGTCATGTTTTCCAACGCTAATCCGACGTATCATGTTTTTCAACGCCAATTCGATGTATCATGTTTTTACACCCAGCCATCGAAATATAAATAGTAAATCAGTGAATAAGAATCTGTTTCTTAATAGAAGAATACCCAGAATCCGTCTCAGTTCAGTTTAGTCATGACTAAATCTATCAAATGGTATCCCCGTCTGTCTAGCAACAAAACGCATAAATTTATTTTGTACCCGTTTCAATGCCATTAATAAGTATTCTTGGTAAGGTGACCAAATCAATGAAGCAAATTCAATTATTGGTCTAACTAATGAAAAATATAAGACCTTTAACGCTAATATATTCTTAAACCGCGATGCATTTCTAGTGACAAAGCCCAATACTCTAGTCGCGTTATTGACCACATTTAAAATATGTTTTCCAAAATCCAATTCTGAGTCTAGTGTAACTCCCAGGTCACGCACCACTGATACTCTCGAGAGAACATCAATACCAATATTTTAATGATACTCTTTAATTAGCTGAAGTTTACTGAAAGAAATTATACTGCATTTTTTAATATTAAGAAAAAGTTTATTATTTATTGACCATTTTGTTAATTGATTCAGATCTGATTGGAGATCAAGAGCATCTTGATCACATGTTATTGCTTTGTATAATTTAAGGTCATCAGCAAACAAGAGGAATAGACTATGTTTAAATAGAGTGTTTGTGTCATTTATAAAAAGCAGAAAAAATAAAGGCTTTCCCACTAGAATTGCATGGTCAACCTTATCGAAGGCTTTAGCAAAGTCAGTGTAAACAGTATCAACTTGTATTCCCTTTTCAAGATTCGATGATATAAAATTAGTAAATAATACTAAGTTGGTTAAGACTGATCTACGCCGCATGAATCCATGCTGTTCATCAATTATCAAATGTTCAACTTGCTCATAGATCATATCAAAAATAATACTCTCAAAGACTGTAGGTATAGCACTTAGTAAAGGAATTGGACGGTAATTAGTAACATTTTTTTTATCTCCATCTTTATAAACCGGTAAAATTATTCCTCTCTTCTATTCGAATGGAAAAGCACCCAACTTTAAGGATCTATTAAATAAAATGTATAGCGGATAAACAAAAACAGAGCTACATGACTTTAAAATATTGGGAGGAATGTGATCAGGTCCAGCCCCTTTATTGATTTTTAAATTTTTTAGTTTTAATAATATTATTTCTTTTGAGATTTCGTGAGTGTTAATAGTAGAATTGTTTGAATAATTTGAATCAGTCATGGGGATACCAGTAGAGGGCGGATTGTAAACTGAGCTAAAGTGTGAACGAAAACAATTAGCAATATCACCACTAGTATTTGCACATACATTACCATATTGAACTTCTTTAGGAATACGTGATTCCCGACGGAAAGACGTTAGGTCACCGATGATACAAAAAATAGCATTTGGGTATACATTATATAAATCTTCAAGTATAGTGCAAACCATAGAGTAAACTTCTAAATTAGAATTAGGAGGGATGTAGAATGATCCCAATATATAGATTGTGGAGTTTCTTACTAATTTTATAAATACATGTTCAATAGAAAAAACATTTGTGGGTATATGTGATGCATGTAAGGAAGAGTCACTTGCAATTAACACACCACCACCACGCAGAGAGTCACTGGTGTTTTTACTCCTGTCAAAACGAAAAATTTCAAAGTTTGTTAAACCTAATTCCGCAGAATTAAATGCAGAAGTAAGCCAGGTCTCAGTAAAAATAATTATTTTAAAAGAAAATAAATTAAAAGTTTGTCGTAATAACAATAGTTTCGTTCTCAGCTCTCTCACATTCTGGTAATATATAGAAAAGTCAAACCAACATGCGGTGTGAGAAGAATGAGAAATAGAAGAGACAAGGTTGCCGGCGGGAGGGGGCACAACCGAGAACACACCACTACCACTAGTATTCGTCAATTCACAATTAAAATGTGAATGAGATGTGGAAGGAGCAACTTGACCAGCAGGAGAGGGGATACCCAACGATACACCACTACCACTAGCAACATGACTATGAATTATGTCAGTGTTGATACTATCACAGGTTCTCCGTGCAGATATTTTATACGTAGACCGCTCTCCCCTTCCTTCACCCGTTCCGTCATCGATTTTAGTGCATTTTTGTACTGCGAGACTTGCATAGGTGTCTTGTCCCACGACAGAATGAGATTCTTCGGTAGGAATTCCGGTAAGGCAGTGTTGGTTTGCTTCAAACTTCTGAATGCTGATAACACTTTTTTGACGTGTGTTTTGTCCGTGAGTGTAACTCTCAGCGGTCGGAGCCGTGGAGACATCTGTTGACGTTTACCACATATGGATTGAAACGTTTGAACAATAATTATTTGATTTAATTATTTGGATCTTAAAGCCTATGAAAATCACCAACACAATATATAATATAGTTAGAAAATAAAAATTAGTAAAGTCATTTGAAAAATTAAAATTTTACTATAGGAAACTCAAATGACAATTTTTATTAAGAATTTTAGAAATATCATTATAAAATGATTACGTTAATTGCTTCAATATTTTCATATTTTGGTATAGCCGCTACAAAAATTTCCGAAAAGAAGGTTGAGGAAGAGGGGCCCAAGGCACCTGTACTTAAAAGTTCACATAACGAGTAGTAATTAATTTTTAAAAGAAAAATCATTTCTCAAAATTTGCTAATAAAGTTTTAAATATTTACTCAATTCACTAACTAATTAAATTAGGAGTACTGGTTTTTTAGATTATCAAGAATTTTATAAGAAATCATAAGAAATTCATTATCATTGTTACTTTAAAAAATGACCTCTTAAACGTTAGTTTAAGTTAGTTATTGTTTTCTTATGAATATTAAAAAATAATAGCGCATATAATTTAAACTAATAAATGAAGCATAATAATGAAGTATATAAGGAAATTTTCTACCTTCGTGAAACATGTATATAATATAAGTGTGTGCGTTGCAATATTCTGCGTTTATGTATGTGCGTATTTTCGATAAGTTAGGTAGGGATATATGTTATGAAAATCAAAGCGAACCTGCGTGCATGTGTAGTTGTGTATATAAACCATACCTGCATCCTCTACTACAATAGAGAACAATTAACAGCAATGACCCAATCCTTCGACAGGTAGCAAATGATGAAAAATTTTTTCTTTTATTTTAACGTCGTTTTCAATTTTTCGTATAGTATAGTAAACTTTCCTATACTATAAAAGGCAGATTTTTCTCTCCGTGTTGAATAAAATTTTTAATTTTACAAAAAAACTGTTTGTTTGATCAACCAAACATTTTTGTTGACCTAAGAAAAAAAATTTGGTTGAGCTAATTAAAAATACTCAACCAAACATTTTTGTTATGCCAACAAAAAACACTCAACCAAATTTTTTGGTTGACTCAAACATTTAGTTTGGTTGCTTAAATACCAACAAAATTTTTTTGTTGGCCCAACCAAATTTTGGTTGCTCTGACTAAACATTTTTCTCAGTGTTAAAATAGCTCGTTATATACGATTTAAAAAAATTACTACTTAAACCTCAGAAAAAACTTTTGTACATAAAAATCTGAAGTACCAGAACTTTCCGGTAAAATTGAGTTCAAACGACCCTAGTTAATTACAAGAAGAATTAAATTTATAAAATTAAAACTAATTTTCAATAGTGTGTGCTATAAGTCTTAATTTATTTTCATTTTACAGATGTCCTGTTGATAACTTCGTTTTTCCTGGTTTGGACCGTTTGAGAGATGGAGATAGTTTGGAAGCACGATTTAATGCTTTTAAAATCCCTGAATCAAATTTTTTGGTTTTCGAAGCAACAGTTCGCACTTGTTCAAATGGATGTCAACCCGCCTATTGTTCTTCTAGCAGTGGAGCTGGAAGAAACGAACCATCTTTTGGAAGGAAACGAAGAGATTTAGATTCCAAAAATACTATTAATAAAAACATTACTGAAGAAAATTTTGCAATGTTAACAATAGCAGAAAATGATATTAATAATCAAAATATATCATTCGAATCAATTGAAGAAGGTGATGAAGAGTACGTCCGAGAGATGATCGAGGTAAACTATTTTTTATTAATTACAACACATTCATATAATTATTTTACCAAGATATAAAATCATGATACATAATTTTATAACTAATTTAGACAAAATAATTATATAAATAATAAAACTATTAACGTAGTAAAAGGGTCATTGTACTGCACACGCTGTATCGATTGAACAAATGAAGCAAATTATTTGCTGAACATATATGATAGGTACACATATGAGTCATTCCCTGTAAAAATTGACAGCAAGAGTAAAGTTCTAAGATTATCCTTATACTTTGCTAATTTGTTGTCATCTATTAAAGTAACAAAACTTTAAAATATAAATAAATTCACAAACAAAAATTGTATAAAGTAGTGACGGTTAAAATATTGCATTTTTAAGTGTAATTGTCTTTTTCAAATCCATGTAACTTCTACAAAATTTTACGGATTCTACTTTTTTAATTGGGTATTTTAATGATTTCTTATGTACTTTTTAATACGAAAAAAACTTCTCAAAAAATGTTTATCCCTATTTTTTTAAATTTCCATTAAGGTCCCATTTTTATATTTACATTCTTTATTGGAAAAAATCTCAGCTTTCTAATGAAAATAATGAAACAAAATTTAAAAGGGCAAATTGGGTTCAAAATTAAAAATATGGATTAGTTTTAATAAAAAGAGTGAAATGGTATTTCAATAGTCAAAGATTTAATATCTATAGATAACACAATGAGAATGTAAACAGGAAAAAGAATAGAAAGCGAAGGAAGATATAAATTCAAATAGAAAAAATCGGACAAGTGCGAGTTACACTCGCATTAAAACCGAGGGTTCCGTACCCCTAATCCTAAAATTTGAGGGGTTTAAAGTGTGAAGGCCGATGAAAAAATTCCAATTTTGCTTAATTTTTCTTGTAATGTGAGCATGGAAATACATATCATAAGTTTTTAAAATTTTTTTAATTTTTTTATCATTTAACATTTTAAATTTTATAATTTTTTTTAGATTTCACCAAATAATAAAAATATCAACAAATAAAAAATGTCAAAAGATAAAAAAAATAGCAAATGGTAAAAAAAAAAATGGCAAAAATGGCAAATTATAAAGAATGGCAAAACACTACAAAAAAATATAGCAAGCACAATTGGAGTTCTCGCTATATTTTTTTTGTAATCTACACGTAAAAATACGTAAAAGTGTATAAATTTGAAACTCTTTAGATAAAATATTCTTCGTTTTTTGGGGAAAAATCATGATTTTTATCGAAAATTATCAATTTTTCCTTGAAAACACTATGATAATTAACTTCAATCGTTCTGGCTACATTTTTTTGTAATCTGCACGTAAAAATACGTAATAAAGTATAAATTTGTATCCCTTAGGATAAAATTTTCTTCTTTTTTTATTCGAAAAATCCATGTTTTTTTCTAAAAATATGAGTTCTCCTTAAAAACAATATGAACATCAACTCCAATTGTGCTCGCTATATTTTTCCTGTAATCTACACGCAAAAATACGTAAGTATACCAAATATGAACTGCCTTCGTCAAATATTGTGTACGCTAGGAGGATTAATCGCTTTTTTTCAAAATTTTTGATTTTTCCTTGACAACGCTATGTAAATTAATCCGAATCATGTTCGCTATATTTTTCCTGAAATTTTCACGTAAAAATACATAAGTGTACCAAATTTGAGCTCTCTATGTAAAAAGATGTGGCAACCAGGGGGGGGTACATAGTCATTTTTAGGGATTTTTCGTAAAAATTCATGGTTTTTCCTTGACAACGCTATGATAATTATTTCCTATGAGATTCGCTATATTTTTCCTGTAATCTACACGCCAAAATACATAAGTATACCAAATTTCAGCCCTCTAGATAAATTCGTGTGGCCGCTAGGGGGGGGGTACATGCCTTGCTTCACTAGTCTCATTAATAGGGTTCCCCCTTCGGGTACGGAACCCTAAAAATTATTAATTTAATTTAAATTTAAAGATATTTTTTAATAGAATAAAGAATTTTTATAAATTATTATTAAACAAATAAAACAAAAAGTTGATCCTGCTGCTTGATGTTGACCATGTTTCATAGACACAAAGAATATCCTTGTACCCAAAACGCTTTTTAAGATCCACAATGTTGGAGTAACCATGGACATTCCAGAAAAATATTTTACTGACAACAGATGACTTCGAGTGAGAAGCTTTCGAATTCCCCCCCGAATATCCCCCCACCACACTAGCAGGACTTGACACAGGGCGGGACTATTGCTATGTAACCGTAGACTGAGGGGGGGGGGGGGTAGCGAAATTTGATTCGCGTCCCCACCCGTCAAGAAGTGCTTCAAACGTTTCGCCTGCTTATCATCCTGCACTTCTTTCTTGGGAGGACGACCCCTCTTATTTGGCGTTGATGTAGGTGTATTGCAAATTTTTGCAACCGGATTACCTGCTGGCTGAGTAGATGAATTAATGAAACGTGTGACATATTCATCAAGCTCGTTAAGTTTCACCGTGACATTATTAACAATCAAAGATGTGTTCCTCAGCCGTTAATGGGTAGAGCAAGCGGCGACTTGGCGATAATCTTAAACCGTAAATTTTATTCGTCATCGCTTCTTGGTAGTACTCGGGAATTTATTATTGTAAAGGTAAATTCTCTTGACCCTTCCTTTTTACTCTGTGCGGTTTACCTCCCTCCTTTCACTGATCTGTCAAATTTTATATCCACTTTTGGTCCCCTCTTATCCACGATTCGTGAGTCATTTCCTCAACTCCCACTTTTTTTGGGTGGTGATTTTAATTGCATAATTGCAGACTTCAATTACCTTGATGCAAATGTTTTTAATGAGAACGTTAATTTGTCTAATGCCAGAATTTCAAATGATAAAGTTTTTAATAATAAAGGTCGAGACCTCTTGTATTTTATGGAACAAAATGAACTTTTTGTCTGCAATGGTAGATCTTTATCGGACTCTCCAGCAGGTTTTACGTTTTGCGGCCCATGCGGAAGTAGCGTGATCGATCTTTTGTGGTGCTCTTTGGATTGTGCGGATTTTATTGTTGATTTTAAGGTTGACCATTGGATCACTTTCCAATATTTGTTTCTCTTCACAGGGAATTTACTAATTTGTCTAATGAACCGGTTGTAAAAATAGAAACTAAATTGGTGTTTAACCTTAATGAAATTGATAATTTTAAAAATAATATGAGATGGAGAAATGAGATAGCGATTGAAGAGTCGGATGTTGATCTCTTGAGTGAAAATTTAACCTCCATAATCAGAGATGTCGCTGATAATTTAAATTTAAAAAAAACTTTTTCAATCAAATCGGGCATCATTGACAGGTGTAAACCATGGTATGATTCGGACTGTTATCTCGCAAAAAAGAACCTTAAGCTGTATTACTCTAAAACAAAAGCGATTACTTGTGTCCCGCTGGATCGGGAAAATTATAGAGCTTGTTTGCGTTTATATAAGAGCCTCTTGAAGCGGAAGAAAAAAGATTACGATATGCATATTGTGAATGAGTTGTCGGTTTTAAACGTTCTGGAACGTTGTAAATAAATATCGTAGAAAACCATTGAGCAACAATGTTATAGACACTCAATCTTGGTATGTCTACCTTACTAATTGTTTTCCGCCGGTGATTCCGGAGGACATTTTGTTGTTGCACTCCTCTCATCCCCTACTGGGCGGTTATATCTCTCATGAAGAATCATGCGCAGTCTTAAGAAATGTAAGTTATCCAAGGCATCTGGGATTGACGGAATTGATTATAGTTTCTATAAATATTTGCCGGAAAACTGGTTAATTTATTTGGAGGAATTATTTAATAGAATTTTATCTTTGGAAACTGTACCAAAAAGTTGGGGACAACTAACTACTTGTATGTTATTCAAAAAGGGGGATCTGTCATCTGTTGATAACTATAGACCTATATCTTTACTTAATTGTTTGGTTAAAATTTTCACATGAATTCTCTCTGACCGTTTAACTTGTTGGGCTGAGAACAGCAACATTATTCCGGAATTTCAAGCGGGATTTGTTTACACTGGAATCATTGATTAAGTTGCATCTTAGGCACCCGAATTCTGCTGTATATGCGGTTTTCGTAGACTTTAAAGGCGCGTTTCCTTCAATTGTGCATAATTTACTGTGGTATAAAATAAAAAAGCTTGGTATTAGTAGTAAGTTAATTAATGTTATTAGAGATTTTTACGGAAAAGCATTTGCCTGCGTGAAGAATAGTGGAGAGTACATTGATTTTGTTAAAGTTACATTAGGCGTTCTACAGGGTGATGTCCTGAGCCCGCTCTTGTTCTCTCTTTTCATTCAAGATCTTGAAAGTTTTTTACTGGAGCAAGGTTGCCGTGGTCTTTCAGTGAACAGTTTTTTAGAAATCCTTGTATTAGCTTACGTGGATGACCTGGTCCTAGTGTCGGATACTCCGACTGAACTATTACGGAAATTGAATGCGCTATCGCTTTACTGTAAAAAAATCATCTGATTATTAATACTAGTAAAACTAAAATTGTTATATTTCATAAAGGTAGTAACAACTCGGTCAAGCGTTTTAAATCATTTAAAATGGAGAATAGTAGTATACAGGTTGTTAAGGAATATGTATATTTGGGTGTCACTTTTTCATCCTATTGTTCATTTAAAGTTGCTTCTCAATGTTTTATTAGTTCTGCGAATTCGTCAATCGGTGCAGCAATGCGTATAATTTATGGTACCAAAACAGATTCCTGGTCGTCCTTTACGAAGCTCTTTACGAGTCTAGTAAAAATCACGTTGATATACACGATTCAAATTTGGGGCCTGGGACATGTGGATATTCTCGAAAGTGTTTGTCAGGACTTTTTTAAGAATTTATTATTCTTACCGCAAACTACTGCTGCTTACGCGGTCCGTCTTGAAACGGGCACTCTCCCAGTTTCATATCTGATTCTTGACAGAGCTTTGGTATGGATAAGGAAGATAAATGACATGTCTAATTCTAGGTATCCCAAATTATGC